TAGTGGAGTAGATTTGACCATGAGTATCAATACTTTTACTCAAGTACTAGAGTTGAGTACTTTGTCCACCACTGCCAACAACTATGCCACGTTCAAAGGCACTCAAATCACCTTTCTTCCCCATACTGATGCTCGGTTTGAACTGCAGGAGATTGTCTTGACCATGTCTACATGCCTAAATGCACTGAGTTGCCACCATGTGATTGGCTGATTAGAAATTAAGTGTTAACGAGCAGTTGGACAGGTGTACCTAATAAAGTGGCCGGTGAGTGTATATTGTCCACCTTATAATCTGTGTAAAGTAAAATAGGATGCTTTGAGTGGTTTTTGTTCCCAGGAGGGGAGTAGGCATTATGTGTGGCAAAAAAAAGCGCAACTTGGTGTCATTACCATGTACCAATGTAAAAAAAATAAATAACGCAAGACTTTCAAGATGGCGGTATAATATCTTCAAATTCATCCTTTCTGAATATGTAGAATCTCTAAAGGTCAGAATAATTCTACAGCTGAAGGGAAAGGTGCTTTATAACAAGATGTTGGAGATCTTGTGTTAAAAGTTTTTTCATTTTCCACTCAGTAACTAAAGTTTATCTGTTCCAATCTCTTTAAATCCTGAAACTGAAGTTATCCTGCTGCACACTAAACATTCAAATAATCCCACTCTGTCGTGTTGAAGGATTTTCAGGACCTTTTCCACAGTGTAACGCTGCCACCCACAGGTTTATGCTGCGTATTGATGATGCTTAAAATGCTCACAAACAACTGATATAGTTGCATCAGTGGACAAAAATATCTGAGCATTAAGTAATAACTTCCAAGCTATAAGAACCACTCAAATATACATACTGTATTGTCTAAATTACGAGCCATATAATGAAAGACATTTGTAAACATTGCGACTTTCATTTTAAACTGGAGCATCAATAAATCAACATTTTGTTCTGTAGTCCTGATAGCCCATCATGTTCTTTTGTCATTTATAGTGTTTTTTTTAAACTACATGCTTTTGTTCTCAGAAAGCTGTTATAAAATGAAGCCATCCCATCTAGAGATGAACCTGAAATGTCTTCAACAGTTTTCAGACTACAACAGCTGCCTGAAGTATGTGGGACTTTTTGAGGTTTGATTTAGTTTTCATGCTGAAGTCCATCAGAAAAACAAATAAAAGATGTCCTCTGTGATTCTGTCACCAGGATTAAAGTAACCTCTAGCAGCCAGAGAGCTACACTCACTGCCAGCCTACAGTCTCCTGCCTACAGCAGGGCCATGGTCTTTAAATAAAAACTGCTCAGCACAGAGGTGAAGTGGTGTCATAAGGAAAGACAGGAGACTTTTTGTAAGTTTTTGGCTGTTTGACTTTGCAAAGTAAGAGATGCAGATAATGCATCTCCCTCAGTGGGAAGAAACCAGTACTATTGCTTGAGTAAGGCATTTGAAGCAACTATGAAATACTGTAAATAGAGATGTAATTAAAGGCTAATTAAACTTCAAAAACTGATCCGAGTTGGTATTTATTGCACATTGTTGTACATGAACAAGGTTTTTCATAGACAACAGGCTGAGTTCTCATTTAATTTCATTTATTTAAAAGGACTGCATATTATTCAGATGTTAAAATTAATCTGTTCAAAGCAGGTAAAAACTTTTAAAAGACAAGTGCACAAAATCAGTACGACTCATAAAACAGTCCCCAGGGCAGCTGTGGCTACACTGTAGCTTACCACCATCAGTCTGTTTACCACTTACACATGAACACAGCCTTGAGCCCTCTGCGGGCTGGATAAAGTATTTTGGTTTTCTCCATTGTTTACACACATTTTCTGGTACTTGAGACAAAATGAGCACATGTAACCTCAAATTTCAGGTCTAAAACACACTTTTTTTTTTTTTTCAAAAGACCACATTCTCTGCATTTTGGCTCATTTTTCATGAAGAAAACCTGTTGTCACAAAGAACACACTGTCATTCAAAACTCTAAAATTAACTCCTGCTACACACTGACTCATCACATGGACAAACACCTGCCCCACAGATTTACAG